AGCCAGCTGAGATGAGGAAGGATATAAGAGCATTCTGGTCAAAAACTGGGCCTCTGGCTTCCTCAGAGGGTGCTGCACTTGGCTGGAGGAAAGGCATGCACAACAGTCTGTGTGCACAGAATGCTCCGACCTCTCAAAGTGCTTGCCTGCTGCCAAAATCTCTGTAGCCACAGTGAGGAGAAAACTTAAGACCAAGGCCAGACCGCTGGGCAGTAACTAATGAAGCCCCTGGGAACTGGGCAGTTCTCAAAGGTTCCAGCTATATTCACAGACAGACCCTTGCACAGGGTCACAGCCCCACCACAAGCTCCAGAATCTTGCTTGGCATTTAGAATGTAAGAAATACCAGGGCATGGGCTGGTGGAGTGGCTCAAGTGGTAGAGCACCTGCCTAGCAAGGGTGAAGGTCCTGAATTCAAACTCCAGTACTGAAAAAAAAAAAAAAAATCAGGGCAGAACAGTGGTGGTGGTCAGTCGTTCAGCTTGGGACCAGTGACCAATCATCCACACACATGTGCAACGTATGGTTTACCTACAGGACCTCCGGCTGTGTGCTTCTGAGTAAGCCTTGGCTCTTTCTGAGGTGGGCCTCTGCACATACATAGATGGGTTCTTCCCTTCCCTTCCTTTCAAGCCAGCTCAGGTGAGATCAGCAATTGACAATTTTGGAAACCACCATGCACTTGTATTCAAACCTTGGAAAAAAAGCAATGCTCTCTTCCAGCACGACTGCTCTGTGGTTCGTCTCAGAAATGATTTTGCTAACACCCTGGCTTCCTGTCCGACAAACCTAGTCTTTTTGCGTGCACGGCACAGTGACAGGCCTACCTGCTGAGAAAGGAATACTGAGAAGCCAGAGCTGGTCTGTGCCATCCGACACCCACCGTCCCTCGTTTTACAAATGGAGATGTGAGCCCTTGGTTTTCACATGGCTTCCTACAGAACATACTCATCAGTAAACCTATAAACAGGTTTAGCAGGTCTCAGCTGTAAGACAGAGTGGCTCTCGGCAGAACAACTCTGGCTTACGGGAGACACACAGCTGGTACTGGGAAGGACTGGCTCTTGACTTTGACCTTGACCACTGACACTTGGTCTTTTTTCCCATGACACCATGTGGTTAAACAGTTATGGAGTCCAGCTTAAGGGACTTAAGCCAAGTGGAGAGAGGAGAGAAGCGACAGAAGCAGGCCTCCAGCACATAGGCTGTGTTCATCCAGCACCTTCTATGTGCCAGGCCCTGAGGCATACACCTCAGCATAAGTCAGATGGTCTATCTGAAGGGGATGCATGCGCAAGAAAAGGAAGACAGGTGGAATAAAGATGTGGGTGCTGGGGAGAGGGAAACTAGGCAGGCCACTCTGAGAAGACAGCAGTGAGCATGGACTCACAAGAGCTGCTCCCATGGTGCCTGCAAGAAGAGTGTAGCAGGCACAGGTCCTGGCACTGGGAAGGGACAGGACAGTGACATAATCTCAAAGAGTGCTAGGATGGCCTCACTAAAAGTAGGCTGCAGGATCAGGCAGAGACCTCAGCTTCTAGGGATGCCCTAGAGGTAGAGCCAAGTCACATGGCGAAGGAACAGATGTGGGTAAGACACAGACAAGGTGTGGTCAATAAAAGTGGGTGGGAGACCTCAAGCAAAACCAGACCCCAAGCTTTGCTCTGAGATGTGAGGTCCACAGTAATGTGACACAGTCACCTCCAGAGGGACGTGGATGTACTGGGAGACAGATGGAAAGCCACAGCACCATCAGAGAGGAATTCAGAGTTGAGCCAAGGGAGAACTCATGGAGCAAGAGAACAAGAGCTTCGGCCAGGAGGACGGAACTCAGCAGAGGTGTCAAAGGCAGGTTACAGTACTGTCTATGAAGTGAGTTCTCACGTTCACTGTATGGGCCTTGATTTCTACTCAGGGTTGGAAAAAAGAGAGGTTCCCTCTGGTCTGATGGGCACAGCAGCAAAGTGAGACATCCAGAACACCTCCTATGAGCCAAGACATCTCCCTTTATTATGTCAGAGAAAGGGGGACAAACGCTCGGCTTCTCAGGACCTTTTAGTGCCAAGGAGGAGGCAGGAGGAGGATGGTATGCTGCTCTATTAGAACAGGTTCCACTGCAATGTATTTGCCAAAAACGGAAAACTGTAAATGTTATAATTAACAGAACAGACAGGGTAAACACCTGCCCAGAAGAGCTCAAGGAAGCCTTGCATGTGAGACAGAGTGAGAAAGCAACTCTCTTCGTCCTAGGCAACCACATCTTTTTTTAAAACCACCTTTGTTCATTGTTCAAAAAGAAACATGAAATCCTTCACACATCTATTTTTAAATTTAAAAACTGAAAACAGTATTCCATAAATATGTCTGTCTCTGGCGCTTGCGTCTTCTTGCTAGTGGTTGTCCCCAGCCACCCTCTGCTCTGCTCTCGGAGCCCCCTGGGCACCCTGTCAAACCCACCCATCCATGTACTGTGGCGAGGCTGCCTCTGCCCTTGAAGGCAGCTGCTGAGGTCGCTGACATGTCAGTCAGCTCTGCCTGGGCCTCCGAGTGCGGGCAGTGGGTGTTATTCTGCTCCTTAAGATCCCAACATTATAACTGCTCCTTCTGAGATGGGACCAGATCCTTTTTGATGGACGTGTATTGATTACTCACCATGCTGGGTCCCCAGGGCCATGCACCTCCCCTGCCAAGGGCTGAGAATCATCTTCCCCACAATGTTCTAAAACTGGATTGGGCCTTACAAGCCAGTAAAGACAAAATTCTGTACACTTACGAAATAATTTTATAGTATGCAATTATTCCTCAATAAAATGTTTTTTTTTTAAAAGTCAGCTTCTACTTCTCTGTAGATATTTCTGTTTGGTGTTAGATGGGAAGCGGGACTTGTGTTCTCTGCCCAGGACCATTTCTCCCGCTCTGGTAGGGGGAGGTGTCCAATGGAGGAGGGACAGGGAAAGGGCAGGCTTCAAGACTGAGAGCAGTGGACCAGTAGGAAGGTGACAAAGTTACACAGATGACAGGGTGGCTGGGTGGAGTAAGGAGGACGTGTTTAATATTAGGTTGAATTATACAGTGCCATTTTTATAAGTCAGAAAAGATTGAATGTTGGTGATTACCCAGAGTTCAACCAACACTGGGATGGCCATGTGTGGTGCAGACAGGAGCTTAGGCCCATGGGCACCAGGGCTCTGCTTATAGCCTAGTGACCAAGGGAGTGCCACCAAAACCTCTGTTCCTTAAAAAAAACCCTCACTTACAAAGAAATGGCACAGCCACACCATAGAAGCACATCCAGCACATCCATGCTTTAATGCATGTTCAATGGCTAGCACACAGCCAGCACAGGAGCCAGGGCCCTCCTCTCCTGCCCTTCACTGTCCCCAGAGCAGACAGAAGAGCAGATCTAAGTTCAAATCACTGACCTCACCATGACTGCCCTTGTCTTCCCCTTAACACTGGCCCCACAAACAAATCAGGAAGGTAGCACAGTTCTGCTTGGCAAAGCCAGTCCCACTTTCCCTGAGTTACCACAGAAGCCACAGGGTCCCAACCACCCTCAGGCCCCAGGCTGTGGCTGGGCTGCACTTAGCATCCTCCACCTGTCTCTGGGGAAGGCATGAAATAAAGTCAGAACCCACATGGCCCAAAGCCAGAGCTGGGCAGGAGGACAACCAAAGGCTCACTATGGCTCAGGTAGGGTGCTCAATGCCAAGAACCACCAGAGGACCTGGGTAGACTCAGCATAGCCACCACACAGTGCCATGGGCAGTGTGTGCATGACCAGTGCTCATGGGCAGTGTGCTCGAGACCAGCAGGGAGTGAGGAACATCTCTGCCTCTGCCTCATGCAGAGAAAAGTCAGCTATGTCACTGGGTGGGGACCAGAAAGAGTGCCCCATTCCCCATGGCACAAAGGAGCCACTGCTACTGATACTCGGGGACATGCCACCAAAGGAGCACTGGTCCTCTCCAAGTCATGTCCTGGGATGGTTACAGTGTACTGTTCCCATCTCAAGGCAATTTAGCTACTATCCTAGACAGAGGAAAGGACAGCTGGGCTCAGGGACAGTAGAGGAAGGAGGGGCCCACAGAAGGAGGCTTCCGGCCCTTCTGTAGCAGCCTCTAATGTTCAGGATCCTTGGTCTCTTCCCATCCTGCAGGTGTGGGCTTCCCTGACTCCCTCAGCACCTCACCTATTCCAGAAAGCCTAGACCCACAGTGCCAAATTGCTAATAAGGAAAAAGGAAGAGCCATGGGGTTTAACTCTGCCCCTGGGGCTGTGAGTGCAGTCACGAGATGTGTAAGGGAGACAAACATCGCCCTCTTCAAATCACCTGGGAGCTGGCAAGGTCTCAGGTGGATGTCTGTTGAACTAACACCAAGTGTCAGAGACACCTGCGTGGAGAGCCCTTGCCTGCCAGGCATTCAGAGTCCAATGTGGGGGGTTTGGGGAGGGGACAAAAAAATCAGATAAGTGACCACAGGTCCTGGTGAGCTCTACCAGGGAGCACAAGCAGAGCATCAGAGGATCCCGCAGAAGACAGCACCCTATAAAGATGCTTACTTCCTGGTCTCAGGTACCATCAAAGTGGACTGATTCCATGTTTACTGCAGTGCTGAGACCCCGGAGAGCCCACTACACGACTCAGACACCTAAGACCAGACCCATCATCGTGGGAGGGACAAAACAGTGTCCTGTGTGCCACTCAAGGCTGAAGACTTTGTCCAGTATCTAGGGTTGCATGTCACCACATCAGCCAGGGCTGTTTTCTAAAACACGCACCTCTAAGGGGCCTGCAGGGATTCGCTCTTTAAGGAAGAAACTGTCCTTGGCTCCATGCCTCAGGGCAACAGGCATGCTCTTTAAAACCTCACCCAAACGATCATGTGTTTCCACTGTGCTGGCTTCAAACTGGCAGCTAGAGCTCCGTGGCCAACAGCTGTCCAAAGCCGATGGCACTGCCCAGGCTAAAGGTGGGGAGGGGTGGTGTGTCCACTCACCAGACAGAGGGTCTTTGCCAATCATCAAAACATTGGGCAAATTCATTACGATCAGCTGCTGGAGGACTTCCTGCAGAGACAAAGAGGGAAAAGATGCCGTTAAGAACGGGAACTGAGAGTGAAGAGCAATTAGGTAAATTACAGTTAATCAAGCCACTAAGTGATGCCACTCAGTAATAGGGTGGCCTGTTTAAAAATCCAAGGCTAATTGTAGTGCTGCCTTTAACATTATAAAATAAAAATTATGCACAGAGAGACTATGGGAAAAGAGATAAGTAATATCCTGGGTTGTATGAATTTCGCTTTTTGAGACAGTCTAGCTTCCTGTGTCAATCTCCTGAGTGCTGAGATGATAGGCATGAGCCACCATGCCCAGCTATTAAAAATAATACTTTTATCTGGATTTGCTTTCTTTTTTTTTTTTTTTTTTTGTTGTTGTTGTTGCTTTTGTGGTACTGGGGTTTGAACTCAGGGCTTTGTGCTTGCTAGACAAGTGCTCTACCACTAGAGCCACACCTTCACCCACAGGGTGTTTCTTTTTAAAAGACAGCCTTAATTATTTTTATTAAATGGCTTGTGCAATCAAAACAGAATAGGAGATAAAAACGAGAGATGCTACCTAGCCCCTACAACCTGAAGATGCAGGACCTGAGGGCTTTGGTATAAGCGCTAGCTGGATGAGGAGACTTTTCCTCGACAGAAGTGACCTCTTGAGAGAAAATCCTCAAGAAGGACTTGGCCAGTCAGAGAGGGAAGCCCTGGGGGAGGAAGGAGCCGCCTTGGGCCCCACACGAGGGCCTGCAGGCATGGCCATGGGCACACCCTCCAGTGTGGGCAGTGCTGGGGAAGACCCAGAGCTTACATCTCCCAGGACACTTCTGAGGCAGGGCTGCGCTAGTCTTCTTCCCTGCGCAAATGCGCCTTGCTTTTCACAAACTGGAAGATAAAGATCCGATTTGAACCACTAGGCCAGCCCCTCCAAAGAACACAGGCAATGACTTTATCTTCTTGCATTGTCTTTTGATGGCTCCCGTCCACGATGGAAACTGGAGGGAAGAGGATGCCAAACTACCCACCTGGCATAGTCCCCTCCCCCACCAATGCTGGAAGCTTTGTCTAGTACCCGGGGTCACACGTCACCTTGTCAGCCATGGCTGTTTTCTCCAACACGTCCTGGGTGCTAAGTCCTGTCAGTGAGGCACGGAAGTGTGTGAGCTGTGTAACAGCCATGTCTTCCCTCGGGCTCAGAAAACTCAATGAAAATGTGCTCCAGTCACCACAGGACTCCACGGTCCTTGTTCTTCTCGCATACCACACTTTCTAGTCGGCTCATCCAGGAAAATGGGTCTCCTGCCAACACTGCCCATGCTGCTGTGCGGCACCCTCCCCTAGACGCCAGTACTGAGACCGCCTTGGGACAGAACCAAGGTGGCTTTCGCTAACCATCTGCAGTCTCTTTTCAATTCCTGGCTGCTCTCCGACTGCCAGTGTCCAGGTCTCTGGACCACTCGGCTGGAGATCACCAAGCATCGTAAGTGAGATGAGACATGGGAAATAATATTTTTTGTTCATTTTAAAAATAACCTTGGAGGTTTCTGCAAAGTGGTATTTTATGCTAATGCTAATCTAAGCCATCTATTGCTAGACAGTATAGGTAGAAAACCCATCTTCCAAAACACAAGGTTTAGTTTTATTTAATCAGTACTTTCAAACTTTCCCACAGGAAACAAGTCACTTGTGCAATTAAGAAATATTTTATAAAGCTAGGCATAATCCAAGCTACTCAGGCGGTGCAGGCAGGAAGATCTTGAGTTTGAGGCAAAGTTAGGGAGACCTCATCTCAAAAACAAAAACACAAACATAAGGACTGGGGACTTGTCTAGTATGCACAAGTACCAAAAAAAATTTTTTATGAATAAAATTTTGTCCCTTTCAAAACACTGTGAGTCACCCAAGACCTAATCCAATGGCCAAAAATGCTCGCAAGCCTTTAACTGATAACCCTGAGGGACTGTCACTCACATCTCCAGCCTAAGCAGCTCAAGGGCCAGAACTCCCCAGCAACATTAATGAGACACACAGTCATTTCCAATTTCCTAGTAGCTGCCTTTAAAAAAGTAAATAAATTTGCCAGGCGCTGGTGGCTCATGCCTCTAATTCTAGCTATTCAGGAGGCAGAGATCAGGACTGCGGATCGAAGCCAGCCCAGGCAAATAGTTTGGGATATCCTATCTCAAAAAAACCCAACACAAAAAAAGGCTGGTGGAGTGGCTCAAGGTATAAGCCCTGTTTAAATCCCAGTACTGCAAAAAAAAAAAAAAAAAAAAAAAGTAAATAAAACAAGTTGAAGTATTCTAATGATATACTTTAGTTAAACCAATGTAACTAAATACAATCATTTTACACATAAGTTATTTTTAAGACACTTTGGGGGGAGGAAGGGGGACAGGGGGGAGAGATGACCCAAACAATGTATGCATATATGAATAAATGAATAAATAAACAAAAAAAGACACTTTACGTTCTCTTTTTGTAATGTCTTTGAAATCCAGTGTGTATTTTACACTTACAGTACATCTCAATTTGGATGCTAAGTTTTCACTGGAAAAACTTGATCTAAATGTAGATTTACAGTTGAAAATTAGATTCCAATTCTGAGTTGTTCTAAACACGCTTAAACATTTCCTATAACTGAATTGCCTATCTGCTTAAGTTCAAATTAAAATGATAAATTCACTTCCTCAGACACACTAGTTACATTACAAGGCTTTGACAGTAACATCAAGGGGGACTCAATGCCTCAGAGTTCCCTCACACCTGACCCCTCTTGCCTCACACCTTTGCCCTTCCCAAGGAAAGCTCTGAAACCAGGATGACACACCAGGGTGACAGGCCAGGCCCTCAGTGTAGCGGGACTCAAGGAGAGTGCTGACAAGGGCCCCTCCTGCAGGACCCTCTAAGCCAGGTACTCGGAACAGAAAGCTTCTGGGAAGCTCAGGAGACACCATCTGCTTGGGGCACCTGGTCCACCCTGGATGACTGTGAGGGGCAGGACAATGTGTGAGAGAGGGCCCCAGCACTGTGCTCTTCTTGTCCATCCCTCCCTCACACACACCTGCCAACTCGAAACAACAAGTTACATGTAGAGCCAGGAGAAGGCTGGGAGTGTGGCTCAAGTGGCAGAGCCCTGTACAACAAGCATGAGGCCCTGAGTTCAAATCTCAGTACTGTAAAAAACAAACTCCTTAATGCCAAGGCCTCAGGCTTGGGATGTGGTCCTCCGCAGAGCTCACAGTCGGGGATGAGCTGCAAATCCCACAATCCTGGGTGGATTCCGTAGCCCCCCCCTCTCCACCCTCCCTTCCCCTTTATGTTTGCTTTCAGATCCCCATATGAGATGCTGGGGAAACCCCAGATTTTCCTTTCCATAAATGAAAGTAGACTAACTGCATCCTGGAATAACCCACTGGCAGTTAACTGCTTTAACCCTCAAAAAACTGGGTCAGAGGGTGTGTTTCAATTCTGCACTGGCAGTGTGAGCCCCAGGGAAGAGCCAGGCTGCAAAGTGCTTTGTAATGGAGAAAGGGACGGAGCCCACCTCACACCACCTAGGCCTCAAACCCAAAACCCAGAATCTCATTCATCCAAGTCCAAAGTGATGAGGCAAAGCACAAGGGAGCCAGGCCAGGTTTTTCCCAGGGAGCATCTGTCACCCCAGCAGGACAGGTCCTGGGGGCAGTATCTGTGTCTGCACTGTGTCAACAAGCCAATTAGTGACCCTGACCGGCATGAGGCACAGGGTAGCCTGAGGCAGTGCAGCATGGCCAGTCTCAAGACCTGTGGCAGTCACAATGGACTTCTGAGAACATGGGCCACAGTGTGGTGGTTCATCCCTGTAATCCCAGCTACTCAGGAAGTAGTGACTGGGAGCAGCACAGTTTGAAGCCAGCCCAGACAAAAATGTAGCCGGGTCCTGTCTCAACAAACAAGCTGGGTGTGGCGGCTCACACCTGTAATCTCAGTTATGTGGAAAGCACAGGTAGGATGGTCACAGACTACGACTGGTCCCTGGGCAAAAAAAAAAAAAAAATCAAGTCCCTATCCAAAAAAATAACTAAAAGCAAAAGGGGCTGGGAGTGTGGCTTGAGTGGCAGAGCACCTGTCTAGCAAGCACAAGGCTTTGAATTCAAATTCCACTACCACCCAAAAAAAAAAAAAGGTTTTTTTTGCTTCTTAGAACAGAAGCAACAGGCAAGCTGAACAGATGCCTAATGTATGGATGGCGTTAAACACATGCTTAATTCAGGGAGAGAAACTTCAAAAGACAGACCAAAGTGACAGAATGTTCTTTCTTTAAGAGTGATCAGAGCCAGGTGCTTGTGGCTAACACCTGTAATCCTAGCTACTCAGGAGGCAGAGATCATGAGGATCATGGTTTGAAGCCACTGGGCAAGTAGTTTACAAGACCCTATTTCAAAACCTCCATCACAAAAAAAGGGTTGGTGGAGCAGCTCAAGGTGTAGGTCCTGAGCTCAGACTCAAGTACTTTTAAAAAAAAGAGTGATCAGGACCAGAGAAAGATTTCTCAGCATTTTCTAAGGATTCTGTAATACGGTAATATCACTTTAAATTAAAACAATCTAACCCTTGCAGCAAGGCTTCCCACACAGAGAATCTATGACCTGGGGCATCTATTTACCAGGCATCAGGGCGGCAAGCAGGACAGACCCACTAAAAGGAGGAAAAAATTATTCATCCTTTCCTGAGACAATTCACAGGCATCCAAAATGAAAAATGAGGGCTGGAGTTCAGTGGTAGAACACTTGCTTAGTTTGTGAGGACCTAGCTTTAATTTCCAGCACTGGGGTAAAAAAAAAAAAATTGAAACTTGAAGTGGATCATTATTTAAAAGAAAAAAACCCTACCCAAAAACCTCTACAAAAGTGAATAGCGGGCTGGGGCCATGGCTCAAGTGGCAGAGTGCCTGCCTAGCAAGCAGGAGGCCATGAGTTCAAACCCCAGTGCTGCCAAAAAAGAAAAAAAAAAGTGAATGGCACCTCTAACACCTCC